GGAGAAGGAAGTCCTCCATAGCTGCGCTGCGAAAAAGGGTGCCGATTACCTGTCACCAAGGCACCGACGGAGAGAGAGAGACACAGAGAGAGAGAGAGAGAGAGAGAGAGAGAGAGAGAGAGAGAGAGAGAGAGAGAGAGAGAGAGAGAGTTGCGCGATACAAGATTGGTTGTGTGGTCCAAGAGGAAGTGGCGGCCATAACCGCAGAGCTCGAACACGGAGTGACGAAGAAGGAAGGGGGAGACATAGCCGGGGAAGAAGGAAGGAGGGACAACGAAGTTGAAGACAAACAAAGCCGAGGGTGAAAAAAAAAAAAAAGAGAAATTAAAAGAGGGAAAGAGGAAGGAAGAAGAAAGGGGCGAGATAGAAGAAAGGTGAAGAAGGTGAAGAGAAGGGGAGTTGGCGAGGAAGAAAGTGCCGGCAGCCATAGCTGACTTGGGAGTTGACCAGGTGTTGACCAGAGAGTTGACCGGGTTTGACCGTGTTGACCAAGTGTTGACCAAGGCGTTGACTGGAGCTGTTGACCATGATTTTGATCAAGCTGGAGATGGTATAATCTCGCCAAGCCCTTAGCCTATCCCCTCGCCCTATGGGTGTGCACTTACCCTATGGTACTTTGCTGAGTCTCAGTCTGTCTGACTGTTCTTTCTGCATCGAGTCTCTTCTATCCAGGTGATAGGACTCCGTGTATGAAGGATAGGGCCTCGTTGACCAAACCCACACGGGCTGAGTAGGGCTAAAGGCTGTGTCTGGCGACTCGACTGTCCCGGAGGACACGAACCCTGCCACGGACCGGTACTGACCGGCGGGCTGCTCGGTGTGGCACGGTAGGCCCAAAATCCGAGTTGTGGGCTGCACAACCGGCCGTCCAAGTATTGAGAGAACATGCTGATCGAGTCGTCCTGTCTGCGACATTAAAGAATTCCCGAGGAGTTACGGGGGATCTCCTTAAATGCCTCCTGATCAGCAATAGGTTTTGTAGTGACGCCTGTAGTTTAGAGTCTAGGCTAGAGACCATAGTTGGCAGGGTTCGATTCGAATCCTGTGGTCCTTAGATTGAGTCGATCTTAAGTTGAGTCAGTTAGGGGGAGAGTCTAAGTGGTGAGGAGTGGAACCGTCGCTTGGTTGTGCGTCTATCACCATGGTTGACACGCGTACCAGAACAAGCACCTCCCCTTACACAGCAGAACAGGAGGCGAAAGCCACCGCCATCCTGAAAGAGAGAAGAGAGAAGAAGGAGGCCAAGAAGCAGGCCTTGCTGGAAGAACAGGCGGCGAAGAAGAAGATCGAGGAAGAGATGGTGAGAGAAATGGAGAGGATACAAAAGGAGGAGGAAGAAAAACTCCGAGCGGTAGAGGCAGAAGAAGAGGTAGAAGAACAGCCACTGGAGAGGAGAAGGACAAGAGAAAGAGCAGGACCCGGTGGTGCGAAGGAAGATCTGTTGGAGAAGAAGATTACGGAATGGGTGGCCAATCTTTCCCTCGAAGAAGAGGAGGAGGAATTGATGTATGTAACCAGGGAAGAGCAGGAGGCGAACATGAAAGAGTGGGATGCAGAGGAAGATCCACTCAAGAGGCAGACAATCGAAGATGAGAAGAGGATGGAGTGGAAACTGCAGCTGATGAGGGAAAGGAAAAGAAGAGTGGACGCAGTGAGCCAGGCGGCAAGGGAATTGGAAAAAGTAAAGAAACAAGGAGAGCAGATGGCGTCGTAGGTGGACCTGTTGGGGAAGATGCAGGTCATGGCGAGGAACATAGAGCACCTGGCCCAGGTCCAAGAAGAGGAATATCAGTTTGGTAGGAGTCAGAACTTAGCCCTGCGATCTGTACGGCTGGGATTCAGGGGCTTCGCACGTGAGTTAGTGATGTAGGTGGGCTCAGAGGTGAAGGCCTACCTAGAGAACACAGAGCGTTAATGCACGGGCGCCATAGAGGGCGCCAGGCTGGCTGCACCCAAGGAAGAAGAAGCACGTCCTCGTAGGGAGCCTCTCAAAGTGAAATTTCCCGACTCCTATAGTGGAAAAGAGGAGGAGAACTTTAACAACTAGGAAGCGAATATTAAGACGTATGTGTACTTACAGAAAGTCACCTCATATGAACACGTCCTGATAGCTATCCATGCACTTAGGGAGGAAGCAGCAAGCTTCGCCTGTTCCATGTGTCGCGCCACTAATTGCAACGATGACTTAGTTGCATATTCCGCATTTAACTCTCTCAACGATTTCCTTAAGTTATTGAGAGAACGGTTTGCAGACGTTACCGTAATGTCAAAGCTTCAGATAAACTGCAAACCATCCATTCTCGCCAGTGGAGGAGTGCCAGGGCACTCAAAGGTGCAATGGACGAGTTGGTCGTCGTTCCTAGCCATAGGGTCACTGAGACTCAATTGGTCAACCTCTTCTATCGTGCTATGCCCGAACAGCTACGCTGGCATTTCTTTGAAAAAAGTCAGCAACCTACCATGACCTATGATGCTTTAAGCAGGGAAGTGGTAGCATTCGAAGCGCGGTCCATGTTCGTCTCCACTTTCTGGCACAAGGACCTGGATAAGGGCAAAAAGTGGAAAGGCCGTACCATCTCGGGTCAAGTCAAGACAAAGGATCGCCTGATCCTTACACTAGACGAGGGTGGTATGGATGAAGTCCCCTACGATCAGATAGAGTGGGGACTAGAAGAGGAAGTGGACAGTAGCGCTAGCCAGGGGAGGACTTACGCTCTTGTCGTGGTCGGAGGGAGGCCGCAAGGAGGAGGTAGAGGCCAGGGCTAAGGGGGTCGGGCCTCGGGTGGTCGTTCCCAGGGCGATCAGGGGATTGGCGACAGGGGAAACCGCCAAGCGGGAGGTAGGGGTCAAGGTCCCCCGCAAAACCGTTATGGAAATAGGTCACCAATAGGGGTAATAGGTCACCCTATAGGAGAAGTGGTTGGCACCCAGGTCTGCCACAGGGCCGACCTTGGGAAGATTTGGGCCTGGACCAGCGCATCTGGCAACAACGTGTGGACCAGGGGCAGTGCATATATTGCGGTGACCCTGGACACATCATCAAATATTGTCCAAAGTATAGAGAGGCCCGATGGGCTGCCCAGGGGTCAAAAGGCAGCCGCCGGTAGGCGTTGCAACTGCCCCTACCATAAGGCCATGTGGGGAAACGAGCACGAGCCGACAAGAAACTCCCAAACCACATGCGCCTATGGCAGAGGTTGTAGGCCGGTGCCTAGATAGTTGTCCAGAGACTGCATGTGTCAGAGTCTCTTTAGGCACCTCCCTCACTGGCGTGGCTGACGAGCTAAAGGAAAGAATGCCCGGCTGGGCCAAGATGAAGAAAGAGAGTAGAGGACAGCTAGTACTAGTAGACGTAGAAGTCTTTAGGAGCAGAGTAGGGCCCCTCGTAGACAATGGGGCCACTCGCAGCTATATTAGTAGAAAGGCGCTGCAAAAATTAAAGTTGGGATTGAAAGTCCAAAAGTTAGCAGACCCCATAGTAAGTATCCTCGCTCATAATCGCACAATGCGAGTAGAGGATTATCTAGAGGGAGTCCAGGCGTACTTCCGCCTAGAGAAAAATGAGAAGGTGGAGAGAGTTTTTCATTCCCTGACTCTCCTCGTAGAGGATAATCTTCCCTTCGATATAGTCCTAGGAATGAACTGGGGAGAGGCAGCAGGGGCCACACTCCATTTGATAGAGCATGACTGTAGGCTCCCTAGCTCGTCAGGCGGGGTCAAGACTGCCCGTCTGTTTCATGTGTCAGGGGTAGATAACTCTCTGGCACACTGCTGCCTTAGCGCTCCTGCGTTTGCAAGGCTAGTGAAGAAGGAGCAACTAGAAGAACAGGTTTTTGTAGCCTACGTTAGACCAGTTACTGAGCCTAAAGAGGAAAAGCCCATAGATCCCGCTATTGCCAAGTTGCTGGAAGAGTACACAGATTTAGCTAAGCCGCCAACAGGGGTAGTCGGGCGGCCCATCCAGCATCGCATTGAGATAGAGCCTGGCAGTAGGACTCCTAAAGGAGCAGTGTATCGGATGTCCCCGCGGGAGTTGGAGGAGTTGCGCAAACAATTAGGTTAGACCCAGTTCGTCTTAGAGAAGGGTTGGATTAGGCCCAGTTCGTCTCCATTTGGAGCACCTGTTCTATTTGTCCGCAAGAAGGAGGGAGAGCTTAGAATGTGCATTGGCTATAGGGGTCTTAATGCTATTACAGTGAAGAATGCGGAGCCACTGCCCCGTATAGATGATCTTTCAGATCGGGTACAGGGTTGCAAGTACTTCTCGAAGATAGATTAAAAGTTCGGATATCATCAGATAGAGGTTCACCCTGATGATCAGTATAAGACTGCATTCCGGACTAGGTATGGGCACTACGAGTTCATAGTTATGCCCTTTGGACTAACCAACGCGCCGACAACTTTTCAGCTTGTATGAACGACTTATTTAGGTCCTGGTTAGATAGGTTTGTAGTAGTCTACTTAGATGATATTCTAGTGTTCAGTAGGACCCTCCAAGAGCATGAGGGTCACCTGAGGCAAGTCTTGGAGAAGCTGAGAGAGGCTAACTTCAAGATCAACGCAAAGAAGTGTGAATGGGCAAAGGCCCAAGTTTTGTATCTAGGCCATGTCCTAGACGGAGATGGCATTAAACCAGAAGATAGCAAGATCGCAACGATTAGAGATTGGCCTACACCCCGCACGTTGACAAAGTTGCGGTCGTTCTTAGGCCTAGCTAACTATTACAGGAAGTCTGTGAGAAACTTCTCCACCATCGCTGCACCCCTTCGCAGGTTACTGAAGAAAAAAACAATCTGGAAGTGGGACAAGGACTGCACGTCTGCCATGAAGAAATTGAAGCAGGCATTGATAGAGTACCCACTCCTTAAGGTAGTCGATCCATCCTTACCTTTCGTCGTCACTACTGACGCTAGCCAGTATGGTATAGGTGTTGTACTACAGCAAGACGATGGCAGTGGATATAGACCCGCAGAGTTCATGTCTGCTAAGATGCGTTCGGAGAAGGTAGCGACATCCACCTACGAAAGGGAACTCTACGCTCTCAAGCAAGCGTTAGAACACTGGAAGCACTACTTGCTTGGGAGGCACTTCAAAGTCTATTCAGACCACGAGACGTTAAGATGGTTGAAGACTTAGGCCAAGATGACACCTAAGCTTACTAGGTGGGCCGCAAAGTTAGCCCAGTATGATTTTGAGCTCAAGCCAATAAAAGGGAAGTACAATGTAGTTGCGGATACTCTGAGTAGGAGAGTTGACTACTTTGGAGCGATAATTCATTATTTGGATATAGGGAGAGACTTGCAACAGAAAGTTAGAGAAGCGTATGCGCAGGACCCTATCTATAGCGACCTCCTCAAGAGAGTAAAGGAGGCACCAGAGTTCGAACCAGACTACCGCACTACTGATGGGCTGCTATTTGAGAAGACTAATGTAGTTTACCGATTGTGCGTTCCTAACAGTGAGGAGATTCGTAGTCTGATTCTAGGGGAATGCCACGACACCGAGGGACATTTTGGTTGGCAAAAGAATCTAGCCAACCTCATGCGCGCATACATATGGCCTGGGATGAAGACCGACTGCATAGAGTATGTTCGCAGTTGTAAGGTCTGCAAGAGAAACAAGATCTCTACACGTGCCCCTCCAGGTCTTCTCAGGCCCTTGCCTATTCCTGACCAGCCGGGGGACTCAGTGTCCATTGACTTTATGGACACCCATGTCAAGAGTAGGCACGACAAGAGCCAAGTCATGGTTATAGTTGATAGATTTAGAAAGTATGCAGTTTTTGTTCCTTTGTCTGCGGAGGCACGCACCGGAATTAGTAATCCAGAAATTCTTTGATCATTGGGTTAGTGAACATGGGATTCCGCTGTCTATAGTTAGTGATAGAGACACCCGGTTCACTAGTCAGAACTGGCAGGAGTTGATGAGAGTCTATGGCTCCAAGTTGCTGATGCCGTCTGGCCGTCATCCAGAGACTAATGGTCAGACTGAACAAATGAATAAGATCCTGCAGCAAGTTCTGAGGATGTATATTAAGCCTGATCAAGAACTGGGATGAGATGCTCCCAAAGGTAGCCACTGCATATAACAACAGCGTGCATTTAGCCACTTGTCGCACTCCCAATGAGTTGCATAAGTCTTTCAGACCACGTAGACCATTTGAAGGACTTAACCGGGACCAGATCCAGAGGCTACCACCCGGTACTAGGGAGTTTGCGTTACAACACGAGAAAGAGTTAGCTACCATTGTAGAGAACCTCAGGAAGGCCCAGCATAGGATGATAAAGCAAGCCAACAAGCACCGTCACCCGTCGCAGTTTCAAGCAGGCGACTTAGTCTGGGTCAAGTCTAAAGAATTTCCTCCTGAGGAGAACATCTCACAGAAGCTACTGCCARCRTACAGAGGACCGTGGCCAGTCCTAGAAGTCAAGGGCGGAGAGGATGGACCGTCCTACACGATAGAGATTCCAGCACACCTCCACACCTACCCAGTTTTCCATGCGTCGAAGTTGTTGCCCTGCAATACGAGTGATCAGTTCCCATCACGAAGATCCATGATCCCTCCGAATATGGATGGCAGTTACGACATTGGTCGCATAGTAGGGGAAGATGCCTTAAGAACTGGAGGTAGGGGTCGTCCACAGAGATAGTACAAAGTCCGATTCTCTTTTCAGGAACCAGAAGACGACCGCTGGTACACACAAACAGAACTTCTAGAGACCGCTCCCGATATAGTTCGCGCCTATGAGCGAGACAAAAAAGGTAAAGGTCCTGCCTGAAATATTCTTGGAGGACCTCGAATTTAGGCCGACGGGAGTGAAACTGTTTTCACCCTTTTGCAGTAGCGGATGTAGATCCCAGGGCCCGATCCCTAGACCTCACTATCTGTGTACAGTTCCCCTGTGTGTGTTTTAACCAGTAACCTGTGTTTTAGGAGCCAGTAGTAGTCTGTCGTAGACCTGTGTGTCCGTCGGGTCTTGAACCGTAGATCTGTCGCGTATGGGTCAAAGTTTATAGTAGAGGTCGTAGCTGTAGGAGTCCTGAAGGGTCAAGGTCGTAGCTGCTACATTCTTGAAAGGTCAAGGTCGTAGCTGCTACAGTTCCGAAAGGCCAAGTCCACAGTCGTCCGGAATGTCCGGAAGTGGCCTTTCGAAGATTGCCCACAGCAGACCAGATGCAAGTGGGCAAGTGGTAAACCCACTGCACCGAGTCAGCAGTGCGACTGCACTGAGTCGGCGGTACCATCCCATGCAGTCAGCGGTACCCAGTCCCAGTCTCCACTAGTCCAGTCAGCAAGTATCATGTGGGACTGTGTGCACCAAGGGCCCGGTGGAAAAGGGCAGACCAGCCACGAACATAAGTATAAATCAGGAAGCAGCGTCCAGCCATTCATTGATTCGCTGCGTAAGCCATCCGGAAGCGCTGCTACAGCGTCTTGTGCGAAGCTGGTCTGCAGGTTGCCCGAAGACGAAGTGGGCTGAAGGGAGATCGTAGCCATAGTCAGTAGTGATAGTGCGGCCATAGCCGCTGTAGGAGGAAGTAAGACTAAGCGTGTGTGTGTGGTGGTATTCAGGGTGATCCAGAGTGAGCGTGTGTGAACAGTGGGGTTGGACACAGTGACGAAGGTTGGGATGTTCAGGCGCCGATGCGCCATAGCCTGTTGAAGTGAACTTGTATCTGAACTGTGTTCTTGATTTCCATATCTCTAAGCTTTGAGTGGGCACCCTGCGCCAGTGTGAATCCCCATCTGTTTGCATGTATCTGAAGTGAAAGCGAAAGCGAGTTTGATTGCACTCTCACCAACAAGTCCCCAAATCATCCATACTAAAATATCACCAAATGCAATACGAATACAGTCCGAGCTCAAAATGTGAAACATTGACTGCCATATATGGTGTAGAAAAGATTGTAGACTTGAAACATACTCTCAAAGGCCATGTAAGGAAATCACCTCACCCACGCTAAATTAGTCAGTATTTATCGGTTTACCCTCTAAAATACCCCCAGCGCCCTAGCCCCTGTCGCCCTATTCTATCAATCTTGTCAGTGTTGGTGCCTTTCTAGGCGTTAGGAGATTCTTCAATAAATCGGAACTTTATCCCTTGATCTCTTTCTGTGTCTGGATGTCAAGCGAGCATGGTACTCGTCTTCCTTTGCCAGCCATACAAACCCCATAGAATCAAAAACATCATCTTTATGGCTCTCACCAACAAGTCCCCAAATCATCCATACTAAAATATCACCTCCTAACTCCCCCACACTTGATCCAACTCCTACTTACCTTCAGTTCTTTTCTCAATTGCCTGAGCTCATTGACTGTGTTCCTGAGATCCTCTTCTGCTCTACTCCTCTCTTCAACCTCTTCCTTCACACTCTCATCTGCCTGGAACAGTGTAAAGAATGCAAGCAACAAAGTGAAAAAGAATGCAAGCAACAAAGTGAAAAAGAATGCAAGCAACAAAGTGAAAAAGAATGCAAGCAACAAAGTGAAAAGTGTCTTCTCAACAGCATGTCTGACCAAGATACACTAGTAAAAAAACAAACAAAAAATGTTTCAAAGAATGTCTGTGATACAGAAAATCATTTCAATTTTCAAGGATGTCACGATCCTGGTCAATTTCGAAGTACACATTCATGTGAAAGCAATATGTCGTCCATTTGCACAAAGAAATGAATGAACTTGAGAGGAGAGAATGAGGGAAAGAAGAAGAAGAAGAAGAAGAAGAAAGAAAGAAGAAGATGTACACCAGCAAAGACGAATGATAACTCCCTTCTTCTTCGCCAACCACTCTCCTCCTCATTTTCTCCTCACCTCGATTTCAAACAATAAATAATAATAATAATAATGTTGAATGGCTGAACCAGAATTAATGTCCGAATACCTCTTCTACTGCAGGCACAACATGAGGTCCACCATAGCCATGGCCACCCTTCCTCCTCTTCATGTAGGCCAAGGCTATGACTGACTACTAGGGCCTCGCCCTGCTGTGCAAAGGACAACACAAAGCAGCTACACTCGATGCTGTTCAGGCCGCCATGCGTGACCCCGCCTTGAAGCCTTCTGGGTGCGGCGCAACCCCAACTGGGGCCTTCCAGATGCAGCGCCTAACAAGGTGATGAAGATGGTGCCCACCATAGCCAGGTAGGTACCTCGCCACTCTCCCTCCTAGCTCTCTTCTTCCTCCTCTTCCTACCGGTAGAGCTCCACCATAGCAGAGATGGGAGCTCCCGGTCTTCTTACTCCTAGCAGAGCTGTAATGCCCAGTGCTTCTCCAACCAATGCTCCAAGCAGTGTGTCGCCAAACTTGCACACCGAAGAACGAGGAGGAGCATTTTGCTCCTCCTGGAGATATATCGGCCTACTTGCGTCTTGGGTGGTGACTTCGTAGGCCGCACGGCCTCCAAGCAACCGGTACAAGCCTAGACCTAGCCTACAACTACTGGGCCTCTAAAAATGCCAACTCTTGTCTTCTTCTGCTCGGCCTCGAGTACCCGGCACATCGACTACTTTTCCCGCTGCCCTGAGTGTTGCGAGCCTTGTGCCCTGCCACTTGAGTGTTTTTCCCCCGCAGCAACCCTCAATGTCACGGCCACAGGTAAGTACCGGCCCTACGGGCCTCCAAACAAGCAAGTACCCTTGCGGGTCACACACACACTCAGGCTGACCAGCACTCAGACAGGCACGCAGACAATCAAGCACGCACACACACACACACAGAAAACTCAGCAGTATGCGGGAATCTCAGCAAGGCGTCAATTCCAGCGGCAGAACTCAGAAATCAGCATCTGTGATGACCCGACCAAACACGGACTGAGACACACAGCTGATTTCTGAGTTTTGCCCATGGACCGAATGCCTTGCTGAGTTTTCCGCTTGCTACTAAGGTCTCTAAGTCTGTGTGTGAGCACGCTTGCTGGTCTGGATGTCTGTCTGAGTGCTTGTTGGCTTGAGTATGTGTGTGACCCGCAAGGGCACTTGTTCGTCCGTTGGGCCCTCAGGGCCAGTACTTACCCGTGGCCGTGTCATTGAAGATTGCAGCGGGGGAAACACTCAAGTGGCGGGGGAAGAGGCCCGCAACACTTCAAGCAGCGGGGAAACACTCGAGTAGCAGGTAGGCCGGTACCACACCCTGAAGAGGTAGATGTGCCGGGTACTCGAGGCCGAGCAGAAGAAGACAAACGTAGCATTTTTAGAGGCCCAGTAGTTGTAGGCTAGGTCTAGGCGGGTACCAGTCCAACCAGTCTGAGTCTAGGGCCTGTACGGGCAATATCAGAGTCTGCAATGATGTTTCCCTCCGAAAGGGAGGAGGTACCGGTTGCTTGGAATGCCGAGCAGCCTGGAAGTCACCGCCCAAGAGGCAAGCAGACCGCTATATCACCAGGCCGGGCCAAGAACCCAGTGTGCAAGTTTGGCGACACACTGGTTGGAGAGCTGGCTGGAGCAGTGCTAGCAAGAGCAGCGCTGCTGGGGAAGGAGCAAGGACACAAAGGAGGAAGAAGAGCAGGAGGAAGGGGGAGCGCCAGAGGTACTTAGCTGGCTATGGTGGCAGCCATCTTCATCACCTTGGTGGGCGCTGCAGCAGGAAAGTCCCTGTGGGGGCAGAGCTACACCAAGAAGCTTCGAGGCAGAGTCAGGCATGTCGGCCTGAGCTAGAGCAGCCATAGCTGCTTTGCGTTGTCCTTTGGACATCAGGGCAAGGCCCCAGTAGTCCACCATACCCTCGGCATATGAGAGTGAAGAGTGAGGGAGGCGGCCATGGCTATGGTGGACCTCAAGTGATACCTGCAGTAGAAGAGGGATTCGGACATTGATTCTGGTTCAGCCATTCAACATTGTACTATTATTTCTTGTGTGAACAAGAGAGGAGTGAAGGAGGAGGAGAGTGTTTGACGAAGAAGAAGAGCTTTATGATTTCTCTATGCTAGTGTACATCATCCTCTTCTTCTTTCTTTCTTCTTCTTGTTCTTCTTCTTCTTACCCTCTCTCTCCTCTCAAGCTCATTCATTTCTTTCTGCAATTGGACGGCATTGTATTATCTGATGAATGTGTACTTCGAAGTTGGCCAGCATCATAACAGTGTGGCAAAGCCACATCAGCAATGTCGAAGACAGCGTGACATGCGCGACGTCAGCAAGAAGACAGCGTGGCATGCACAGCATCAGCACGCCAGAAGACAGCTGTCGCCAGAGCAGGAAGGCGCCAGCACGCGGTGCAGCAGTCTTGCGTCGTCCACAGTGCCAACATACAGGCAGCGTCAAGCGAGTGTCCAGCTAGCGTCAAGCCAGCAACCAGCCAACGTCTAGCTAGCGTCAAGCCAGCGTCAAGGCAGCATACCACGACTGAATGTTGACTCCCTGGAGGCCAGGCCTTATGACGAGGCTGACCGGCCTCAGGTATCCCACCCACATTGGCTCAGTTTGACTCACAACCCCTGGATCGCGTACAGTTGCAGACTTCCACTTGGTCTGAATGCTGTCTTGGTACCTGCATACAAACAAGTGTGTGTGTCTGACCGGCGGCCTGTGCTGGGTGCATGCAGACTTCGACTCTTGGGCCGCTTCGGGCGCACAGGCCCTGAGCCAACTTGGGGTTTTCCTCCCCCTTGGTCTTTGCGGACTCAGACCAGGGTCGAGGCCTGTGTGTGGTCCTGAGGCCACCTCAGGGCATACTGAGCGGGGTATTGCACAATTAAAAATGAAATCTTATAAATAACGTTATTATATCTATCGTCAAATAGAACTGCCCGGTAAACCGTAGGCAGAGAGGGAGAAGAGGACAACAAACAAGGGGCTGTGACAAACTGTTTCGTCGGAGTTTCACCGACTCATCAGGAGGCTGAACCCTCAACAGTCTGTAGAATCCCCTCACTGATTACACTGTAATCGATAATCCACCTTAACCAAAATCAAAGTATATTACGATCCGGTTCGGAGGGTCCAGTTGGACCCCGATTTCAAAAAGTTTGATTTTTTTTGGGGGGGTTCCCAGGCCGTTTACCTGGGCCCGGGGTACCTCGGAAAAATAATGCCGATGTTTTTTGAGAGCCAGTACCCCAACCGGACTGGACCTGAAAGCGCCCTCTGTGTGATCACATTGGCACACGAGTTCACTGCTTGCTTATTTGGATGGAATCTTGGTGCATTTGAGCTCTCTGGTTGGTACACGACTATTTGGATTTCTTGCAACATGATTTTCTGTCTATAGCTCTCGCTCATACTCCTTGCATTTTTGTGACGTGGGAGGAGCGTCTGGCCGATGGGAGGGGCGAGCAGGGATGGGAGGGCGATGACGCCAGACAAAGATGAGCGACATTGGATACTGTGTTGGTGGGGCCTGAGGGTGATATGACATTGGCACACGAGTTCACTGCTTTGCTCTTATTTGGATGGGATCTTGGTGCATTTGAGCTCTCTGCTTGGTGTTTTTTTTTTTTTTTTTTTTTTTTTTCCCCTGGACAACCGGACACCGACACAGCAAACTGGACTGTCCGGGTCCAGATGTCTGGACGTCCCGTTTGACCCAGACATGGATTTGGTGTCTGGGTCCGGTTGTCCGGTTGTCCGGGTCCGGGGCAACCATGAAATAAAGCAAAAAATATTTATATTTATGTAGTAGGTAGGTACTTATTCTGATATTAAATTCTATATATCGTCAAATAGAACTGCCCGGTAAACCGTAGGCAGAGAGGGAGAAGAGGACAACAAACGAGGGGCTGTGACAAACTGTTTCGTCGGAGTTTCACCGACTCATCATATATATATATACACAGGGTAACCGACGTTCGGGACGGGCCGAACGCCCGAACCCGAACGCCCGTACGTATGAGACCCCTTGGGGATGCGTTCGGCCGTTCAGGCCGAACGCGGACCCACAAAAAAAAAAAAAAAAATCAAAAAAATCAAAAAAATCTGAAAAAAAGATATGTTATGAAGAAAAATAAATTAGGCAAGACTTGCCTGAGCATTACATCCAAATTCCTTACCAATTTTGAAATAAAAATAAAATAGGAAAAACAAATACTAATAATAAAAATCACAAAAAATAAAAAAGAATTAAATTTAATGAGTGCGCGAGCACATTTTCGACACCGCCATCTTTGGAGATTTTTCATTTTTTTTTGGAATAGCTAAATGCCCTGAAAATTTACAGATGTATACTTCACATCATGCAAAACCCACTAAAAAAGTTTCAAAAAATAATAAAATTGTTTAGACCCTGAACTAAAGTGAAAACAAAAAGTAAAAAGTGAAAAAAAACTTGGGCGAGCACGTTTTGAGACCGCCATCTTTGGCGATTTTTAATTCTCATTTGGCTGAGCCAAATGACTTGAAACTTTATAGGCATGTACCTCATGTCATAGAGAACTCACAAAAAACAATTCA